TTACAACTCCGTAGTTGTTGAAGCTGGTAAATATGAAAATCTTACTTGCGTCGAAAATGACTGTCGAAATTATGTTAAACAAGTGAGAAGATTAAGACTTGGGGAAGGAGATGCCACAGCTATACAATCTTACTTTTTCAGGATGCAAGCCTAGTGCTCAGAATTCTACTTCAACATATATTTAGACGATGAGTCTCTTTGAGGAATTTTTGTGTGTAGATAATAGGTGTCAGCAAGTGTACAAGGAGTTTGGCGATGTTGTCACATTTGACACCACTCACTTAACTAAAAAGTAGGATATGCCTTTCGCCCTTTTGTTGGCATTAATCATCACGGACAATCTACTTTTTGCTCGGTTGTGATTTGTTATCCAGTGAGGACACAGATTTTTTGTGTGTGGGTATTTAGGACATGACTTCAGTGTATGTATAGAAAAGCTTCCAATAGAGTCATTACCGATCAAGATAAGGCAATGCAAAATGTAATTGAGATTATTTTTTCGAATACAAAATATAGATGGTGTTTGTGGCATATTTTGAAGAAATTGTCAGAAAATTTTGGATACCATGTTGATAAGGCTTCAATTTTTTCGAGCATACATAGATTAGTGTATGATTTACAATTTGTTGAAGATTTTGAAGATGGTTAGGGAGCGATGATCGACACGTATAATTTGTATAGTAATGATTAGTTATCAGGACCGTTCGCTAATAGAAGTCGTTGGGTTCCTTGCTATTTAAAGACCACATTTTAGGTTGAAATGTCAACAACTCAGGGCAATGAGACTATGAATGCATTTTTCGATGGGTATGTTCATACGAAGACCTCGTTGAAACAATTTGTCGAGCAATACGAGCGAGCACTGAGGAAGAATGTTGAAAAGAAGTTCCAGGCTGACTTCAAGTCATACTCACAAATGGTACCGTGTACAACAACGTTTGAAATGAGAAGCAGTATTAGAAGTGTTATACCATTTTAGGGAAATTCAGATCGGACTGACTGAGAAGGTTTATTGTGACATCATATTTACTACGGATGGTACTGTAGAGATGACCTGCGAAATAAGAGAACTTGTCATGTGTGATGAGGGACGAATCATAAAAAAATTCTTCGTCTCATTTAGGAGAGATTTTTGTGAAATTATTTGCAGTTGCCACTCATTTGAGTTCCAAGGAATTCGATGTCGACATGCTATCGTGGTATTGATCCATAACGATGTCACATCACTGCCTGAGAGGTATATACTACGACGATGGAAGAGAGATGTTTGTAGAGCACACACTAGGGTTGCAATGAATTACGATGGTTGTTAAGTACTCCAAAATAGTTGAGATACGACGATATGTGTCCGAATTTTGTGGAGGATGCAAACCTCATAGCCGATGATGAAGTACAGTCCCATGCGATAAAGGAATGGATAATAAATAAAAAAACAAGAGCTGCTCACAATAAAGTCAGATAGTGGGAGTAATATCATTTCACATGTTGGTAGTCAGCTCGACTCGCAGTGCAACGAATCCAAAGACAATGCCAGTGGGTGCGTACGCGATCCTATATCAACTAAGAGGAAGGGCACATTAAAGAAGCTTCGAAAGAAAAGTCCATTGGAGTCCTCTTCGAAGAAAACAAAGGTATGTTGGTCAGTCTTTTTATTAATTTAATGATATTCTGTTACAACAGATATGTAATACATGTTTACGTGTAGACTTCTACCAAAGGAAAAAGGCCAACATCGAGTCATAATAATACGCCATTGGTTGCACCTGTCGTTCAAGCATCTCAACAATATTTAATACAGACACGATTTTCGTATTCACAACTATTCTTGGTTAGTATATTTTAGTGATTTAGTTTATTATGATTTTTCATATGAAACTAATAGTTGAGTTATTGTTTGATGTAGGGCGATGTAGAAAGTCATTTTTACCCACAACACTTGCTGCACCAAGTTTGGTCTAGCCAACGTCAACAAATCTCATATTTACTTCCCAAGGTTTCCACATGTTTAAATCTTTCCATTTCCATTTGATTTTTTATTTGGTGTGTGCTTATGTTCATATTCTACAATAGGCCATTCGATTCCATACTACTATTTACATTTCCCCCAACAAAGAGGCCCTAGCTAAGGAACTGTGACTTCGAACAAGCAGTTCGGCAAGAAGTCGTGGTAAAGGCTCAATGGTGTATCTTGAGGTCTTTTTTTCAATATACATCCTACAAAAGGAACACCCCTCACTGATTCTCGAAAAAAGGGAAAGAAAAAGTGTTGGTCAGTTATCTATTCTGTTTTAAATTTTTGAGTTCGAGCTAAAGACCTCATTTCTTTGTTAAGGGCTGACATTTGGATAGTTTAGGATTTTTGCTTATGGTAATTATTGTTCTAATGTCTAATTATTGTTTATGGTGATTATTGTTCAAATACTTCATGTTCGTTATGCTATGAGCAACAACAGTTGGCCACCAATGTATTGTTGTCATTGTAGCCAGTGTATTAATCAGGACAAGTGTTTTTGGATTGTGAAAATAGTAAGACGAGGATGCTTTGTTACTGCATTTTTACTCTTAGTTGTAGTATTGTTATTATTTAGGGAAAATAGTACCATTGCTAATCAACTTGTACGTGATATCTTGAAGATTTGAGTGGACATCAGGTAAACTATTGTTTGTCTTCAAACAAGATAGTGGCTCAATACTAAACAAACATGGCTTAATAACCTGTCATGTCTCGAGATTGGACTAAGTATTTGACTTCAAAATTTTTTTATTAACGCAAGAATGAAATCAACCTTTACCTGTTGATTGCATACCCGACGTGCGTGAAATCATGCTAACATATTTAGTTCATGATGGGGTTAGTCCCTACCTAGAGTGGTCAAATATGTCCTTACTTCGCTCGAGAGGTACACAAACCCCCAAACTTATTCTTTTCACTCAATTATACCGGGGTTGTGTTTTAAAGTTAGGATTTTAGGTAACTGCAGTCCTTACCCTCTCTTAATTTTGATAGATCTCACTATCACAAGTTCACATGTCAAAAAATGAAGTCTCTCCCAGATTTGATTGCTTCAATACTTAAGATTAAACTAAGTTATTAGGCTCGCATCAAAGGTATAGTTTTTTCAACCAAATGTCCAAGGGCCTCTTGATATTATCGTGTCTTTTCTCACATATTTTCTAACAAATGAAGGCTCTTCCAAATTTGATTGCTTCAACACTTAAGATTAAACTAAGTTACTAAGCTCGCATCAAATGTATAGTTTCTTCAACCAAATGTCCAATGGCCTCTTGATGTTATCATGCCTTTTCTCACTTATTTTTTGATAATTTTTTTTTTGCGTCATCTTCTCATTTGCTTTCTGTATAACCCCTGTAGCGAGTTTTAGGCCGATGCTCCCAAACCAATTGGCTTTAAGGCGTCAGGTTTTAAACCCTTGCAGATTTATTCACTCGATTTATAAAGGTTCGATCAAATGACGTTTTATTCACCTCTTCCCCTCTTACTTTCTATATGATCCATGTGATGAGCTTTGGGTCGATGCCTTTTAAACCAGTAGGTTTTGGGTTATCAGATTTTGAAATATTCTTACAAGCTTACTTGCTCGAATAATAAAGGCATGGAAAAATGTGTCCTATTTTCACAAGTTAGATTTATGCCCTTTATTGTTTTTCTAGACATTTGGCCTCCAAAACGAACCCCCAATTTAATATTTTCATCTAATTTTTATTTCACTGATCTAGGCAATCCACACAATCGAATTCATGCACAGAGCACCCACTTATCTCAATGCTTTCCAATGATTGCTCAACCATCTCCAAACCGTCTTAAGGTGGTTTACTATTTGATTTAGTAGAGGGTTATCATTCTTCTCCTACTTTATGCTCAAAACCCCAATCACTAACCTAACATGTCGAGCATGAGTAACGTGCATAAAGAATGTCAAGTATTACATCAATAAGTATTGATTAATCTATTCAGTATCATATCTACAGTTTGTAATTTATACCAGTTTAATATTCACATTATAGTCGGCAAGGCTATCAAGCCCCCACAAGCATGCAAGAATGAAAATATAGCAAATTGAATAAAATGCAAAGAATTTTTTTTAACACTCATCAAGACATAATATGTAGTCATGAAACATAGATATTAATAAATATAGGCAAAATGATGAAAAGATGTTCGTGTCCAAGATTATGTCACCCACCCTCAAATTTAGATAATGCATTGTCCTCAATGTGAAGATGAAATAAAAGTGTAAACAGGCATAATGGAAGGACAATAATAAACTAAAAGTGCAAGATAGGTTACGAGTACTTCCCTGATCTATATGGAGGTGGTGAATGAAAACTAGGACCCGCAGCGTTTCTCCTTTTCCTGTGACATTCCTTTTGGCGGCATCCTGTAAAAGTGCAAAGTATGCGTATTAGTTCACATGGTGTAAACAGATGCAACTAAGGCAAGAAATAACCTACATAGTGCACAAATCCCTCAAACTTGCTTCAAGTGTATGTGTATATTGTTGGTGTGCAGAATGCATAATTTATGTCTCAACATAGGGTTTATATCACAAACATGTGAATCACCAACGAAACTTCACTCAAAACATGCACTTTGTTCAATTTGACACATGACTGTCTAAAATAGGACTTCAACCTCATGACTCGTGCTCAGTGCATTGGGACTCGTGTGGACCATGCCTAGACTCCATGTGCTAGGAATGTATGATCGATGACCTAAAACTATTGATAATGCTAAAAAAATTGAAAAGTTCCCAAACTATTGCAAAACGAAGTAAATGAAAGGATAAAAACGTTGGGTTGCCTCCCAACCAATGCTATTTTATAGTCGATAGCTCGACTTTTGGCATAGGTGTGTTATGGCACTTCAAATATGGCTTGGGGGGTCCTGCGTAGTTTGTTCGATATGGTCTTGTTCCGCATTGCAGTTATCTTCCACACTTGAAACCTGTCATTTTTCAAGTGGTGTGACTCTCCCTCACCATCCATTTGAGACTCCACGGTGTATACCTCGATCTCCTTTGAATCAGTGAGAGTGGATTGAGGGTGCATCATATCGGCCTCCTGAATGTTTGGCGGTTTCTTCAACTTGTAATTGTAGGGAATTCCGATGTCAATCACATCAATCTGGAAACGGGTGTCTAGCTCGGTGGGATATTTCATTGCTTTAAAAATATTAAAAGAGGCCTGCTCCTCCCCCAGTCTCAGAGTCAATTGTCCTTGTTGCACATCTATGAGAGCTCTTGCAGTTGCCAAACATGGTCACCCCAATATGATAGGCATGTCCTTATCTTCTCCATGTCCAAAATTAAAAAGTCCGCTGGGAATATAAGTTTATTCACTTTGACCAATACATCTTCGATAATCCACTCGTGGATATGTAAGTGATCGATCAGCTAGCTGTAGAGTTACTGTAGTTGCTTTAGGCTCTCCCAATCATAGTTTCCTGAAAATAGAGAGTGGCATCAAGTTAACACTCACATCAAGATCACACAATGCTTTATTAAAATAAAAATCACCAATTGTGCAAGGGACGGTGAAACTCCCTGGATCTTTTAATTTTGGTGGGAGCTTTTTCTGGATCCTAGCGCCGCTTTCTTTGGTTAACATCACCATTTCATATTCCTCTATCTTGCATTTATTTGTTAAGATGTCCTTCAGAAACTTGACATAGCTGGGCATTTGGAGTAGTGCATCGACGAACGGGATGTTTATGTGGAGCTTTTTAAAGATTTCGAGGAACTTCTTATATTGCTGCTCTATCTTGTGCTTCCTTAACCTATGTGGAAGTGGAATGGGTAGCTCATAAGGGTTAACTGGAATGGTGGCCTTCTCCCGTGACATCTCTGAACTCTCCTTTGGTGTGGATTCACGTGTCTGCTCGTTTTTCTGTACAATCTCTTCTTTTGTAGAGGGTCTTGTTTCATTGTTTACACTCAACCTTTCAACATTTCTTTTGGGTAGTTGCATCCCATTTCGAGTTGTGATTGCTTGAACATGCTCCCTGGGATTCAACTCAGTATTGCTTGGTGAAGTATCTGATGCCTTTTTCTTCATAGCGAGTGTCATCTGTCCCATCTGCATCTACAAGTTCTTAATTGCAGTACCCTGATTTTGGAGGGTAGTTTCAATTTTCCTTATGAACTGATTATTTGCTTCCATGTATTTTTCAGTCTTTTCCATCAACTTTGCAAACATCTCTTCCAATTGAAGTGTTTTCTCTTGCTGAAATTGCCTCTGGGATCTATTCTGATTTTGTGTACCACCACATGAGAGATTTGGATGTTCTTTCCAACTGGGATTGTAAGTGTCTGAATTTTGATAGTTCTGTTGATGTTGACCCCATTGTTTGTACTCTATTTGTTCCATTCTCTGTGATAGAATTGGGCATTCTGTCATACCATGATTCGCTCCACATTCTTCACAATTTAGTTTTCGTACATATGTTACATTCGCGGACTGTGATATGATTTCCACCTTTTGAAATAGTGAGTCAATCTTTGTTGATAAGGCTGAATATGTATCTACCTTATAGACACCCAGAGGCTTCTTTTGAATCACCCGCTCAGAGGACCATATGGCTGAAGTGGTAGCCATTCTCTCAAACAATTCTAGTGCTCCATCGATTGTTCATGTGGAAATTGAGCCATCTGATGATGAGTCCACCATACTTTTGAAGTACAGGAGTAACCTTGTATAGAAGAATCGAATTTGGATCTTTTTGTTAAACCCATGTTGAGGGCACTTTCGAAGCATATTCTTGAACCTATTCCAGGCTTCGTCAAATGATTCGGATTCTCCCTGGCTGAAAATGGAGATTTCGTGTCTCATTTTAGCTATCTTGGCTGGTGAGAAGTACTTCGTGCAGAATTTGTGAGCCAGGTCGTTCTAAGTACTGATGCTTGCAATAGGAAGCGAATCTAACCATTCAAGTGCCTTGTCCCATAGCATATGTGGAAATAGCCTTAGCCTAATAGTATCGTCCGAAATTCCTTGATATCTGAAATGTTGGCACATATCCAAGAACCAAGATATCTGTGTACGTGAATTTTCTTCAGCTCTGCCATAAAATTGATGTCTATTCTGGAATAGATGTATGACATTGGTCTTCAACTGGAAGTTTGGTTTCCCAAACCGTGGATACACTATACTGGACTAGCTTTGAATCAATTGAGGAGTGAAGAAATCTCCCAAAATTTCATTTCCTTCATCAACCGCCTCTCCTTCATTAGCTTGAAAAATGGGGTTGTTCTGTAAGTTAGCCATTTGTACTTGTTGTTATTGACGTGCTTCTCTATTTTTTCGTTGCAATCGGTGAAAGGTTCGCTCCGGGTCTGCTGGAATTAATTCTCCTCCCGTCATTGTAACATACAACTCTGCGAGAAAATCAATAGTAGCACTCAGATTCAATCAACATAAATAACTAAAATAAAAATAAAACAAAATGCCTAAACGAAATCAAATGAATAAATAAAAATGAAAATTGAAAGTTCGAATTAGTGCCTAAAAAGACATAAAATTAAACTAAACTCAATCCCCGGCAACAGCGCCAAAAACTTGTTCACGAAATATTTTCTTTCGATTTAAATCACCGCAAATGGACAGCTTGTTAACAAGTAACAAAGTGGATAAACTGAGTCCGAATATCGTCCCACAAAGATTGATTAGTTTAATTTTACCTAACTTGGCCTTAATCGAAAATGATTTGTCAAACGTGAATTGTAGTGACTTAAATTAACCTTACTTGGACTAAATATGCAAATATGTATGATTTGAATGAACTAAAATGCTTATAAGTTGGTGTACTCAATGAATATAAAAGTGCACTAGGAACACGAATTTCCAATCAATGCTCAATTTAACATTAATTCCACACTTTGACAACACGATGACATTTTGAAGAATCAATACTCCTAAATCTATCCAACACTCTCTCTTGAGATGAATTGAACATATTCTCATACACGACCAGCCTATATCTCTATGACAGATGCAAATATATGAGAATGCATGTAGTTTTGTGAGTACTTAGAGATTCACGCAAAGTATAGGGGTATATTTCTATCCCCTATCGAACCCTACGATAATTTATTCATTGTTGAATTTATTCATCTTCTTTCGAATAGATGAAACAAATCACCAAAACTCATACAATTATGGGCCCATAATCATGGAAGCAATTAAATGCATATAAATCATTCAAAACAATCAATACGTATTTTAGTGTCAAAATACGGAACAAATAATTAAATATCACGTTACAAGGTTCATCGATCTCCTAGTATAGATTTTTCTAGCCTAACATGATAGGAAGAAGAACATAACAATAAAAATCAAGAAAAGATATCACTCTATTGAAATTCTTAAAGTGAGATCTTGAATCTTGAATTGAATCTTATTGTTCTTCCTTCTTCATGCTCTTCAAATCCTCCCAAAACAATGTATAATGTGTGGTGTCTGTTTTTGGACTTCCATAGGGCTTTAAAAGACTTCCAAAATTTGTTTCCATAAAAGTTTTAATCAGAAAAAGAAACTAGAAAATTTTCGCCGCGATTGGCCTGGGCTGTCGCTCAGGTAAAACTCGGGCTATCGTCCAGGCAAACATTTTCTTCTCAGTAATAAGAAAAACATATGGGGCAATCGCCCGGTTTTTATAATTGGGTTGTCGCACCAAGCAAAATTTCTTCCATATGTTGCATTTTAGCTCTCAAAGTCGATTTTTGATTCTTTCAAGCCCTTTCTCTTGCAATTTCAACTCTTTGACTTTCATTTGCATCCAATTGAACCCCAAAAATCTTTAATCTTCATTTTGTGATCCGAATCAACTATTGAAATGTTGCAATTTAGTCCTCATACTTTGGATTTCCTTCCTTTTTGGTTCTTTTTCGTTTCTTTTCTCTTGAATTTCTCCACATTCATCAATATAGTCCTACAAAATATAATTATATAGAATTAAGTCATAATTTAAACTCTTTGATCATAATTAAGTTATATTTGTGAACTACATAAGTGTGTAAAAACACACTTATCATCAGGCATGTAATACTAAATTGAGGTATTGTTGGAAAAAGGTCAAATTTGAGTGGGCATTATGCATGTTATGTCTAGGCATCTTCTCTTTCAATTTATTTACCTAATCAATTGAGTTATTGTTAATTAAATGGTTTGCTATAAAGAGAGGTAACTAAGCTCTAATAGAGCCCCATAGATTTTCATTTTTCTACCATTAACAAAACTGAAGCAGAATGAGCTACAATTTTGTATTGGAGGTATTCCATCCAATGATCAAACTTTGAATGGTGAAGAAACAAGGGAAATGACACACAGATGCTAAAATAAGAAAATACCCAAAAAATAATACAATACAAACATTTTACTCATGATACCATACATTTAAAAAAGAGGGCTTTCATGGCATTCTTTGAAAATGAATATTGTGGGTTCTTCAATTTTTTTCATCATCTCTCGATATTACAAACCCAAACACAAAACTATTTTGGGTGCAAGAATTAATATAACTAATAATCACGCCAGCCCTTTTTCTTCTCCATTATCGTTCGAGGGCTCTTTTCCTTTGCGAAATGTCACGTTCAACGAAATCTCGATGTTTCGTTTCTCGACAATTCAAGCTAGATGTTTGAACGTGCTTGACAAATTGTCGATTTCCTCATTGGCAGTAGGATTCATCACTTTCTCATTAATGACACTCGACTCTCCACTTGATTCTTCTGTTCTTACTCAGTCAAAAAATTCGCAAGAGCTGTTGCAAGTTCTAAATAGTCTACCTTTGTTATTGCCTTCCTTTTCAACCACGAAACATTTTTGAATTCCAACTGCACACCGTGAACAACGAACTTTCCTCTTGCAATCTTTGAAGTAGTGCTCTATGCTTCTACAACTGTGACAAACACCATAATTCCTCCCTCTCATCCCTACGTGGCAAACAATATTTAGAGGATTTCATTACAAACTAAAATGAAATATAGATCCCGAAAAAATAGCTCGATTAAAACTTAAGCAACATTCTATACCACTATAGGAATCGAACAAATAAATTCTACTATAAAATGTAGAATTCAAATAACATTCCAGCAACTGTCTTGTGCTGCACTTACAGGTATAATTGAAAATCATCAAAGAGGAATGGAATACTGTCATCACAAGAAAAATAGACCATATAAATCACAATTTAAAAGTGCTATCATTTCACTTCTCTAGCCAAATACAGTGATTTAATACTTCTAAACAAATAGATCATGAAAGTAATTTATCATCTAAACTCTATAGGACCAATTTCAACAAGCTATAAATGCCTCTATTTTTCTGTACATATCAAAATAATGAAAAATTCAATAATGAAAGTTTAAATCGGAACAAGAAAAAATCCATTCAATGCATACCATGCCATAAGCTACAGATCAACATGTTTTAAAGAACATGAATATTATTCAAAAACCAAAAAAACAAAAAAACAAAAAAAACAAAAAACAAACAAACATACCTTCACAACAAATGTGCAAAGGATATGAAACAAATAATAATCTTTACTCGCAAATTGGGTCGGAGATAAGGTCTGAAGACGTTGGCCTCTCAACGGAACCGTTGAATGACACTGGCCGGAGATAGTCCCGACTGTGATGGGAAAATGGGTAAGAGATAAGGGTTTATGTAAGAGTAATAGTTATACAGTTGAAAACCTTGAGCTTATTCACGGTTCAATTGAGCGAAATTTGACGGAGAAGGAAACCAAGTTGGCGGTGTAATCTTGATGGGTGTGTTTCTCTTCGATCGAGAGGTCCATTTAGTAGGAAAATGTATTTGGTGGAAGGTGGGGAGAAATGGGGCGTTTCGTATTGTCTCGAGTTATTAGACATTTGGTTAATTTATTATTATTTTTTATTTGTTGCCAGCTCATCTAGAAAATTTCTGTCAATCGAATTTCTGTACGCCTAGCCGAATTGAAACTCGAGTGGTATAATTCAATCCAGTACAATGATCACAATTGTTGAAACAAAATTTTCCTTTAGAGTCTAAATGATTTGAGATGCTCTTCACAAAAATCAAAATTTACATCTTTCTCAAGTAGGCTGCACAAAAGCTTTGTTATCCTAGAAAAAATCCTCAATGAACCGACTCCAGAATGCATCGTGCCTCATAAAGCTTCGAAGACCCTCGACTAAAGTTGGTGGAGGAAGTTTCTCAATAACTTGAATTTTTGTGTGTTTGCTCCAATTCCCTTGAGTGACTTTTTATCCAATGATGACTCTAATCGCACGTATAAATGTATAAAAACACACTTGTCAACTATCAAGCAAACTATATACTCATTTATTTCAATCCTTTAAAGTTTGGGCAAACAGTGAGGCGAGTGCTAAATTGAAAAACCCCCTCAGGTTCTTTCAGACCGTAAAAGCCCTAAACCCTTCGGCAACCAAGCAGCGGAACTAACTCTCTCTTCCTCTCTCTACGATTTTCGCACCCTAACTCAACCATGACGGAGATAAAGCTCTCGGAGATGCGGGATTTGACCCGAATCGAAAGAATCGGAGCCCATTCCCATATCCGGGGTCTGGGATTGGATTCGGTTCTTGAGCCACGTGTCTCCTCGGAGGGCATGGTGGGCCAGACCTCCGCCCGCAAAGCCGCTGGAGTAATTGTCAAGATGGTCCAGGAGGGGAAAATTGCAGGTCGGGCTGTTCTTCTTGCGGGCCAGCCCGGCACTGGAAAAACCGCTATTGCAATGGGCATGGCGAAGTCCCTCGGACAAGAGACCCCTTTTGCTATGATGGCCGGGAGTGAGCTGTTCTCTCTCGAGATGTCAAAAACAGAGGCTCTAATGCAGGCGTTTAGGAAAGCGATTGGGGTAAGGATTAAGGAGGAAACGGAGATTATTGAAGGGGAGGTGGTGGAGATACAGATCGATAGGCCGGCAGTGTCAGGGGCGGCGTCTAAGACAGGGAAGTTGACATTGAAGACAACGGAGATGGAGACTGTGTATGACTTGGGTGCAAAGATGATTGAGGCATTGGGGAAGGAGAAAGTTCAGAGTGGGGATGTTATTGCTATTGATAAGGCCTCTGGGAAAATTACAAAGCTTGGAAGGTCATTCTCGAGGTCTAGAGATTATGATGCAATGGGGCCGCAGACCAAGTTCGTGCAGTGTCCTGATGGGGAACTGCAGAAGAGAAAGGAAGTCGTGCATTGTGTGACACTTCACGAGATCGATGTTATCAACAGCAGGTATATCATGAGTTTATGTTCACATTATAAAGATTGTTTCTTGCTAGCATAAGTTAGAGCACCTCCAATGCATTCCGTAGATTGCCAAATAGAAAGACTTCCAATCTGCTTGGCATTAATGTCTAATGAATAGAAGGCCTTGTTCAAATTTCTTCTTCAATGGATTTTGTCTATAATTCAAATTTCATCTCTAATGTATGTTTAAATTTTTATTTTTAT